TTTTTCCATATCAATTTTCAGAAGTTATGCATGCAAGAGTAACAATGAAAAATGTTCAGGCACAATGCTCATGCAGTAAAAAAAAATAGATTTGCACTTTTTTACACAATGGTGTATTGATTGTTTTCTGTGCATACAGACAATTTTTTGTTTTTTGTTTTTTCAAAAAGTGCTTCATGTTCAAATATAATATCTGGTTATATGTCTTGCTCCCTCCTAACCCCAAAAAGCTAAGAAATCTAAAAGCACACCAAACCAAAACTCAGGTCTCAAGTAGTTAAGATAGACCCACTGTCCTTGCATGAGGACATCATTTTATGCAAAAACTACTTCCTGTACAAAAACAAATTTTAGTTATTATACTTATTAGGTCCTACTTGTCCCAAATAGCAAGAAAAATTATAAAATGCACACCAGGCAAACTCTCGGGTCTCAGGAGGTTAAAATGATAACCAGTTTAACAAGAAGTGCTCCCAGAACCCGAATTCCCAGAGCGTTCCTTGCAGATAATTTTTTTTTATATTTTATTTGTATAACCATGTAAATTAATTGAAACGTTGCTGATACCAATGGGCTACGGAGATTATTCTAATGTGGAAATTTATAATTTATTTATAAACAAACTACATAATGCTCAGACACATTCGGTCTCTCTTGCGCAGTCGAGCACGCTCTCGGACACACTCTATCTCGCGCATTGTCGAGCGTGCTCATGGCGTTCGCTTTGCTTTAGTCAATTCCGGCGCCTCATAAACACACACACACACACACACCAGGCTGAACAACAGCAGAAATGCATAATTTTCCTGTTATCACTCTAAAGTAAAGCACTATATAAATAAAGGTGACTTGACTGTGCATTATAATGTGATGCCCAAATTCATATGCATTTAAACGATCAATTTTGGTTCTGGTTTTATTTTCACTTTTAATTCACATTGAGCACACTCATATTTAGCCCACTACTTTTTCTACTGAAATTGTGCTGATGTTTGTACTGGAGCTGGACACTTAAAAAATGTTTTTTGCAGGGACTAACTGGACCATGCTAACTAGCCAAATCTTCCACTTGAGGAGGAAACTCTCATTCTTCTGATTTTAATGTTACTGTTTTTTTTTGTTTTTTTTTATCTGCCTTTTCTTCTTTGAGAGCGCAGAAAGTGGCCATGCAAGTTTGAGCATCCCTTTCAGCGGAAAAGAAGTAAATGATCTCCAATCGTGCATTTATGCTTCCAACAACCCGTTTCATTCCCTGTTTGCCATGAGAAAAGTCAACTTGCTTCTTTTCTTTTCCTAATTTTCCCGCACCTCATTTTTCTCCCGGCTGGAGTTTTAAAATGATAGCTGTGGATGTCATCCCTCCCCAAACTTCACAGAGGCCTTCAATATGTGAGTCCTGGCTCTCGCTCCTTTACCAAGACGCGTCATTAAGTTTTTATGAGAGTAGCTCTTGTCACCGATACTGACAGGAGGCCAGAGAATGAAGGGGAACAAGAGAAACCGGTGATGAGGGAGGCAGTCACTCCGCGGCCCTCCATCCATCCTCCTTTTTTTTTTCCCCTTCACGTCCCTCATTGCCTGGTCCTGACAAGGGCCCCGTGGTTGAGTTTTGGGCCCCGTGACACGCTGTGGCAGATGGGAGGACCATAATAGAGATCAGGGCCCAACCTGGAGGCGTGCGGTTCCGTCAAGAAAGACTGACAGCGAGGGAGAAAGAAATTGCGAGCGCGACGGTGTTTGAAAGAAGCAGTTGGCATCTGCAGTGATGGGCTCTGCTCATTAGAGTTGCTTCTCAAGCTGGATGGAGGCTCCAGTCAGAAAGAAGAAAAAGCCAGAGAGGTCAACCCCTGTCCTTCAACATGCTCTCCGACTCTCCCTCACTATATCCTGAGATGGGTTTTAACAACCGTCTCTGTGAGACCTCGGTGACAGGTGAGCTGGTCACGAGCTCAACATATCCGGGAGATACACATCATATCTTTTTGCCTCCAAATCTCACGGCGATGTTTCAGTCATGCGAGCCGGGCTTGTCTGTAATACGTCTAATTCACTTCAGACGATGTTTCTCTGCCGTGTGGTTTCTCCCAGATGGGAACCGACTGTGTCTGTGCGAGCAAATCGGCTAAGTGGAAAAACTTGTTGCTCTCTCGTTTCCTGCTATCGAGTTTCAAAGCGAACACGGCGAAAAGCTCAAACTGAACATCCGTGGCTTTTAACGGCATGTGTTCGTCCTCCATCTGCCATTAGCATCATAGTGTTACCTCCTCGAAGAGGTCAGAGGGTATACCACACATGTACTCAGCCATCATTTGTTTTAGCTACTCATTTAGCAAACAGATGGGCTGGAATTTCAATGGTTTCTCTCGGAAACTGTTCAAAGTGAATGTGCGTCGTGGTCCTTCCACTTAAAACTGAAGGATTGTGCTAAGAGATGTTTTTTTTTTTTTGTAATTAGGGACTATTGTAATTGCTAAAATGCACCAATTAAACTAGCTATGTGTGTTTTTTTACAGTACAAAAACTTTTTGAAAGAGAATAATGGTTGGGTACAGTGGGGTGCACTGTGGTACAAAAAAAACTTCTCGTACAGTATAATAAATTGCAAAAAAAAGATCCACGTCGCAATGGGAACTTGGGCTCATCTCCGCAGCATGTGTGGGTGGTATTTAAAAAAAAAAATAATGCTCAGTTTTCAAAATTGTCCCTATTGTTTGGGCTAAAGTTACAATTATTGATATGATACTAAACAGATGGCTCAATTTTTCATTTGTTGACAACTTGGATTGATTTCATTGAATATCATTTTAGTTGTGCGTCCGACTAAAGAGATAGCATTTATTGTTTCTGTAAAGAAATGAAATTGTTTCAAGCATTGTATAACACAGTCTCATCCCAAGTCGTCATATAACTGACATCTTGGGACGTCTTTTGACCATACGTCAACATCCACCTTTTTAGGGTACCCTTAAACGTCGGTTAGTTGATGATCCCGGGCCGTCATACAACTGATGGTTTACCTTTAACGTCAGTTAGGTGACGGGTTAGGTTTAGGGGTAGGTTTAGGTCTGGGGTAGGGTTAGGATCCGATAACTTCATCTACCGACGTTTAACCCTTATGCTGCATTAGGGACATTTTTGGTCTTTTGCAGTTTAATTTCTTTGACCATTTTGGCTGTTTTAATGCAAATGGTATGAAATTTGGCAAAATTGTGACTTTTTGGATAGATGTAAAAAATGTGATCCCATTTTGCAAAATATGTATAACACACACTGTGTAGATCAAATAGTAACACTCAGCACCATAAAGACCAAAAATGGCCCATTGAAACCCATTAAAACGTTGTTTAAATCTGAGGCTGTCAGTAATACATGAAACATGATTTTTGCACAAACATCCTTTCATTTTGAAGCAAAAGCATTATATTTGCATTATATAGTGTATTCCACCAGATGACGTCACTACATATTTATTCCCTATGGGTGGAAATGCACCTTATTTTAGGCAATAGGCAATGTTTAATAGGTGGCCATTTTTGGTCTCTAACGCGCTAAGTGGGATTTTTGGCAAAGTGGGACTGTGATAATCCAAATCTAAAGTTTTCTCTTTGCATTTAGTTTATTGAAAATAATTGAATTTTTGTGTTTTTTCCTCTTATACAAATCGATGGTTTCGCAAACAAAACTGGTAATTAAAGGGTTAAAATCATGAAATTGAATACATTTTTTGGTAGTTATGATGAGAACTGATGCTGGTTAAAAGATTTAACTTGGTAAAAGTGGAAAATAATAATAATATATAATATTTTAGGCAATGTTTAATATGTGGCCATTTTTGGTCCTTAATGCACTCAACGGTGTTAAAAATCTAATGCAGCACAAGGGTTAAGGGGGCCCTAAAAAGGCGGATGTTGACGTTGTTTTAAATGTTTGTTTTTCTGTATTTTTACAGTGATCACATTTTAATGACCATGTATTAATTCTCTAAAAGTAAATTATTTGTATCTTTCATTTGTACAATATTTGTTGGAGTGATTGCACTGAACAAGAATTAACTTAGATACTAAGCAAAATATATTACTTTAGATTTGTTTGTTTTTTAACAACACTGAGCAAAAGGCCCTTCTCGCCACTGATTTTTTATGACATTTGAACAAACTACTTGTATTATTTGTTTTCCCACAAAATGTGTTGCCCTATCAATATTAAATAAAAATCATAATGGCATACAATGAATATCATTGGTATTATTGGCATAATTAATGGCATTATCATTATTAATAATAATAATAATAAAATGAATCATATTAATCATAATTACTAATACAAAAAAATAAAAATAAAAATTCTAACATGTCTTTTACTTGTCACTAGCCAGACAATCATGATGCTCTTCAGTGTGATAGCAGAACTAATATTTATCTTTAAAATACCAGATCTTTATTTTATTTGACAAAAACTACACCTGTAGGTTTGAATTCTACAGTGGTTGCAAATTAGCTGATCTGAATTTAATCATTTAACCAGAATTCATTTTAAGTTTGTGTATGTGCCAGGTACGCTAGAGAAATAGGTACTCGGAAATTATATATATATATATATATATATATATATATATATATAAATCACAAAAAATCATGGCTTGGTTCAGAAAAATGTTCTTGATTTTTGTATTATACAGTATTTTTATTAAAACTAACTTCATAAAGTATGATTTTTTTATTTATTTTTATTTATTTATTAATTTTTTTGAGCAATGATGGAGCTATATTTGAGTATTCTTAGGAGCATATAAAACAAAACGGCTCCTTGGTCAACATGAAATGTAACAGACACCTGTCGGTTACTTACTTTCTTAACTGTCATTACACTCCTCACCACTAGGGGTTTTAGTGAGACCAATGTGCTTAGATAAAGAGCCAGGTGAGCAGTAGAAGAAATTATTCCATCACGTGGTATGCACCTTTAAAGTTGGTTCGCAACCCGCCATAAAACCAAAAGAACAAGAAGGAAGAAATTATCATGGCTGACCTCCTCGAGTCCTGGCTGGGGAACGTTCTGTTTCATGCTCAACTGTAAGTAAAATGGATATGTATATGTTGAAGTTTACGATCTGGTGAAAGATTTTTTTTTTTTGTGCTTATTGAATATAGTGGCTTTAATGCAGATAGTTAAGAAGAGACATTTTGTGTTTTGTAGGACTTTTCAGTATCTGCTGAATAAATATTTGTGCCAACTTTGTGGTTGTGTTTGGGATTGACCCACATTTGAGTGCTACTACAAGGCTAGTTGGAAATAGCTTCATTTGACTGTTGGATTACCATTATGGACTTCCTTTCTTGACATGAGGGCTTTATGTTGGACTACGGTCATACTTTGTTGGATTTCATTTACCATCAAGCCTCCACATCATTTGACTCCTTAAAGACAGTCAAGCTTTCATCTGACTTTCACACTTTAACCTTAACTTTCTACAACAGTGAAAGTTCTAAAGTACATATTACTGGAACTTCATCTCATATACAGATGCTGGGTGTTTTTGTAACTGTTGAATATTGTTTCTTTGTTATTTCTATGAGTCTTGGTGTTTATATAAAGTCATATTAGGTGTTTTCATTGCTTTTTTTTATTTTACTCATTGGATTAAAAACATTGATGTTGATGACCCTCCCCTACAAACAGATTATTAGTTAGCATTTACTCAGAGTAGCATGTGTTGGTTAGATGTAGTTATAAACAGGTTTATTTTAGTTCAGATTAACATTTGAGGGCAGCAATTGTATTCATAAAGTCAAAATAAAACCGTTGTAGCCTACTATTCCTGCCAAACTTCCATGATTACAGTTACTAGTATTATACAGTAAATCCATAGTGAATGTTGCTGATCTGTGGACACTGAATAGTTCATTCATGGCACATTGTTTCTACTGGTTTCCACGTCAGCGCTGTTCGATCTGTTAATAACGGAGAAATGGAAATGTTTCTCACTAGATCTCGCAGCGATGTTTCATGGCGAATTCAAATGCTTTCTTTACTGGATTTCACTGTGTAGTAACAATGCTGATGATCTAGATCGGCGCTGCATTGGTTCAAACTGATATACGGTCCGTCAACCACACAATAACAATAGCGCCGTTTCATTCCGCTTGCGTTACATTTGCCATTTGATGTTGGGCACAGTCTCATCCCAAGAAGTCATATATAAGTGATGTCTTGGGACGTCTTTTGACCATACGGTCAATCTCTGCCTTTTTAGGGTACCCTTAAACGTCGGTTACATGACGATCCCGGGCCGTCATACAACTGACGCTTTACCTTTAACGTCAGTTAGGTGACGGGGTAGGTTTAGGTCTGGGGTAGGGTTAGGATCCGATAACGTCATCTAACCGACGTTTAAGCGTACCCTAAAAAAAGCGGATGTTGCCGTATGGTCAAAAGACGTCCCAAGACGTCAGTTATATGACGTCTTGGGATGAGGCTGCGCTGAAAATGTAATGAATCACTGTTATTATTATTATCATTATTATTATTATGAAGACATGATAAAATAATGTTTTGTCTTGCGTATTCTTTTAAAACTGATTTATTTGCGTCATTGAACTTGAGCTTGTTAAATTGTCTTTGCATCTGACATTCATCTTGAAAGGGCAGTAAAAAAAAACCTCAAAAGATTAGTGCCTAGCACTTGAGCATAATGAGCTCTCTTAGTCACAAATCAATAGTCAGTTAGGAAGGAGGCCCTTCTTGAAGGTAATCTGTTGTAAAAAGCCTTTGCTTTGGTGCACTTAGGAAACAAATAGGTGTTTGCATTTCTGTCAAATGGGCTTACATTCAAAAAATATATATTTGTCTAACATTAATTCTGCATGAATGATAATATAATGCAGCTTCATAAAGAGGTAACACAAGATCAGATCAGTGATCCCAGACAACTGGATCAAATGTATATCAAATGTGATATAAACAGGCATACAGTAATATTACAGGGTAATATTACTTATAAAACTTGCCAAAGTTACATTTTAGCAAGTATTTACTTGTATGCATTTTAGTTACCATTCAAAAGTTTGGGGTCAATAAGATTTTTTTTTAATCAATTAATTTGTGTATTAATAATTTTATACTGTGATGTCTCATTAAATTGATCAAAAGTGACTATATATATATATATATATATATATATATATATATCTCACAATATTACTGTTTAAATAGGCCTCAGTGAACATGAGATACTCCTTTCAAAAATATTAACAAGATTGTATACTACCAAAAACCTTTGAATGGCATTTGCATTTAAATTGTACAGTCTTTATCTTTTTGGTAAAAATAAACAAACCAAAGCATATTGACTATAATTTTTTTTTTTTTTATTAATTAAAAAAAAGGCAACGATCCCTTTTAAAAAGAAATATGCCAACACAGAAATAAAATAAAGTAAAACGATTTCATTGGGTCTTTAAAACCATGTTTACATCCTCCAGTCCAAATTTGATGATTTTAAACATTGTTGTGTTTATCCGTAGTGACACAAAGAGGAACATGACTGAATTTTTGACATCATTTCCAGTCTTCCGGCTTCTCTTGTCATGTGATTATTTTCTTTAAACTTCATTACAAGCTTACATAAAACTGGCACACCATTTTGGGGCAGCTGATAATTTGGGAACTGCTGGCAGTCGTTGACTTGATACAGATTTCTGAGTTTCCAGAATATAGAAAGTTATACCCCACTTTCTGAAGATGCTCGAAAACAACCCTACTGGGACTCTTGTATAGCAGATGGTGTACAGTGAAACACGCTGCTCCTTATATGATTTCTAATGCACCGCTCTCATGTCATCGCTCCCCAGACTCAACCATGGCATGAATTTGTGTTTGGGAAGTACTCTCATTTTTTTATTAGTGTTTAGAGGGCTGACAGCTTCGCAAAGGTCATGTTGGGGATCTTACAGCAAATGCTAGAGCTTAGTTTAGCTCTATCTGTGGGAATGTCAGAGCGGTGTACACCAAACAAACGGTCAGGAAATTAAGAGCGCTGTCTGCTTTATCTGCTCTGACTCTGAAAAGGTGCTGTGATTTTAGTGTAACTGTCTAATGCCTTGTCTTTTTTTTTTTTTTTTCATTCCCCAGTACCACAATGATAGGATTATGCACTGCCAACGTATTCTCATCCAAATGCGTCATATACAACGCTTTTGCCAAAGCACATGGCACCCTATAGCGTCAATATAACATGCTTCGGTTATGGGTAGGTTTAGGTGTGGGGTAGGGTTAGGGTTAGACCACTAGGAGGCGCCTTCTGATTACAAGAGGTAAAAAACGATAGGCCGTCAATGTGTACTTACATTTACGAGTCATTAAATCATGTTTAATTTGGACTTCTCTGAGCATGCTCTTTGAGGTGGTGACCATAGACCTCCATTATATGTCCAAAAGGCACTTTGGTTGGATTAACTGAGATGGAAAGAGAGAAACCTTACAATCGGCTCAATGTGTTGCCAATTAATTCAGCTCATTTCATAGACTGGAAGATGATCTGAAACTGGAGTCCATTTAAAGCTGTGCTCAGACTGGCACTAATGATCAGATATCCTATTTTAAACCCCAACTAGATGTTCAGATTTCGATTTCCGTGTTAACCACTAAAACACGTTAATTAAAACACTAGAACAATATGTTCTTTTGAAATACTTTGTTGTTCAATTATCTTCCTAGTTCATTAAGATCCTTAGAACTCAGGCTGCATAAATGGTTATTTCAGAAACCTATATTTTTTAAATAAATAAATATACTCTTTACTCCAATACATTTGTCTGTATTTTATATAATAAATACGAATTCATTGTTCAAACGGTTCTGAGGTTAAATTTGAGCCATATATAGTTGGTTAAAATACATTTAGTTTGTATGCTTAAAACATATCGGCATGTTTTAAATGTATACAGTTGCAATTATAGTGCACGCATTTGCCAGGAATGTGCATTGAGTAATTTGAGGTTGAGTTTGAACTTTGAAGTGAACATACTGTATTATAAATTTAGTCTATTGTAATTAGAGTAAAGAAACACAGTTTCCTCTACAGTCCACTCAGGCCATACAAACTGCAAAAATGGGTCATTCAGAAATCTCGAGGCTGTTTTTGAAGAATGGGGCAGTGCCGACTAAACTGGACGGCAAACACTATTAAGCACAGTTCCTAATTTCGCAAATGCAAAGAAGTCATTTTTTTTTATACAAATCTTAAAGATACAGTAGTAAAAAGACATGACGGTTTTAGGTGCAAGGCACCTTGGATAACATTCGGGAGAGAAATAAATGTTAAAACGTAATATATGTCCTTTTGAAACAATTATTTATTTTTTGCTACCATCACTATTGGAGAGTCCAGTGTTCAAACTGTGTCTCTGCCTCATCGTTCTCTCCACTAATGACAACAGTCACACTGTAGATTGAAATATCTTTCCCTCTCTCCATATGACAAATTAAAATTCACTCAAGCATCGATTCTCTTATTATAATTGCCCTTAGGGAAATGAGCTTTTTAGGAGAGAAGAAAAAAACGTGAAGGAAAAAAAAAGTAAATTGAGTCTTAACCCCATGGATACATTGACAGCAGTTGCATTGTGGGTCTCATCTGCCCCTGTTGAATTAGTGTACAGGGAAAGTATAGAGTAAATGTGTTGTGTATGGAGGGCGAGGTCAAAAAACAACAGATGGAAGCTGACATGACCTCAGCACTCTTAAGAGACTGTTTGCTTAGTCAAGAGCCGCACTGAATTCAATGTGTGCTGTTATCAAAGCTGACGCCAGCGACCCTGACACCAAGTAACATTTGATTCAAACAGAGTTCAATTTATAGCTTACAGTAGGACATATTATCTCTATTAGGTTCGAAATGAATTGCAGAAGGAAATAAAGTAATATATACGCTAATTCGTCAAAGGGGCAAACTGTTATCTGTTCTGTAAAGTGAGATTACCAGCCTGAAATATTACTCCATTCACTCGCTCACTAGAGACACTCCTTTTTTTTCCCCTCATATTACTAAAATATTTAGCATTCTTGATTCCCAATGTCTGACTCCTGTTACATCAAATAAAATCAATCTGCATCAACTTCTCGGAAGGTTGTTCGTGCAATCCTCTTGAAGATAATTAAGAGTCCGCTGCTTGGTTTTCAATGCTGCTTGGTTTTCAATGTCTGAATTATTCAAATTTAAATTAGAGCAGGGAAAAACATCATCAAATCTAATTATCTAATTGTAGTCAAACGTGTTGATGTTAAAAGCAAAGCTAAACACAGTTTATTGACATTATATTGTAAGGGGAATTTCACTAATATGGGTGAATATCTTTTTAAAGGTCTGGCTGGTGAACAAATATGACTTAACAGCTTCAATTATCCAATAAGGGGTTTGAAAAATTACACTGTTTAAAAAAAAACACATTGAAAAATGATTATTTGAAAATGTTGCTTCCTTATACAGTACTGTATCTTTGACTCAATTAACTGACAACAGTTTATTCACACAAAAAAAATACATTTTAAATTACTTTAGAAACCATGTATACTTTGTGCAAGTTTTTTGACAAATGCAACCAGTGAAATTCCTAGACATTTATAGATACTAAGAGTGCAGAGCAAACCTGTGGAACTGATATTGTTAAAAAAAAACAGAACATCACCATTAACACTCACACTGTAAAACAAAATATTGTTGGTTGAACTTAAATTAAGTTACCTGGTTGCCTTAATTTTGAGCTTATTATATGTTAATAAATAAATAAAAAGTTATACATTGAATGAGATTGGTTTAATCAACAGAAACTCAAAATATTATGTTATCTCATATCAACTGGTAATCTATATCATTCATCTGAACAGTAGTATTGTAAAAAAATATATATAATAATAGCATTTGCATAAATGCATTTGACAGCTACAATATAATATCTATACTGAGTCTATACTGTACTAATTAAGAAAAGTAGCTGAACTATAGCCAGAAATAACTTCAGATCAGCAACAATGCTGGATTGTTTTAACCCAAAATTGGGTAAAACATGGACATAACCCAACAAATGTTGGGTTAAAAATGTAATTTAAAATTTTAATCTAACTTCAACATTCACTTTCAACTGTACATGTTTTAATTATATTTTTAACCCAACATTTGGGTTGAAATAACCCAGCATTTTTAAGAGTGCACATTTTATTAGATGTTCAATGTACCTTTTAGCCTTGATTTCTATGCAGCAGTCCTGCTCGCAATTACCAATACTTGTTCGTATAATCACAACATACAATGCAAACATAATATATATAAAGAATCACAAACCGTTTTCTAACCGATAACATTAATACATGTTTCTTGAGCAGCAAATCAGCATATTAGAATGATTTCTGAAGGATCAGTGACACTGAAGACTGGAGTATAATGATGATGAAAACCAGGAATTAATTACATTTTTAGAATATATTAAAACGATACTTTTAAATTGTAGTAATATTTCACCACATTGCTCTTTCTGCTGCATTTTTGACCAAATAAATGTAGATTTCCTTCGAAAACACATTAAAACAAATATCGCACCAAACAGCCATAGTACGGAGTGATTCTGATCCTTAAAAACTGGTCCACTTTGACTTGTAGGATGAAAAGATCTGACTGGTGAAGATGTGTTTGGGTATTACTTTCACAGCTCCAGAGGTCACTCTCTGTGATCTCCTCACTAAAACGCATTATGACGCGAGAAGAGCGATAGGCGAGAGCGCGGCGGCCCGGACGCTTTTTTTCCCCTTCTCTCTTTGCAGGAAAAGGACATGGAGTCTCTGCGAATTCTCGCAGAAGAAGCTGTCACTCCCTCTGTCACTCGCCGCGTGTAGCCTCTTGAAGGCAAAATGTCATCCAACTTGTCAGGACTCTAATCCCAGAGAACCATTTACTGTAGTGCTCCATCTCTCTTTCTGTCCTTTTCGTCTCTCAACATCCTCTCCTTTACGAACTTCTCCCCTTCCATTTGTGTCTTCCCTCTCATAAATATTCCTTTCTCTGCACCCACACACTCTCTCTCTCTCTATCTACAGGCCCGCTGACGATCATCTCTCCAGCGTGACACGTTAACTTGATCAGCGATCATGAGTGATGTCACGGACAAGAGGTGTGTGTCTCTCATCCCTTAACGACCTCCATGACTCACTCCCATCCATCATTTCACTTTTCCAGCACCATTCCACTGCCTCTGCCATTGAAATAACAGCTGTTCCTCCCCAAAGTTTCTGTATCCCTGTGTGGCGCGCTCACAGGCCTGTCCCTGAGCAGCTGCACTGCGACTGGAGATGCTGGGGTGTTTTCCGCTAATTACCCAGCGCAAACAAAGCCCCAGGGCCGTGTTTCTACTTCCTGTTTATTTCTTTCATTTGCTTTTTTTTTTTAATCAGGGTCTGCTCGCACTCAATCAGAGATGCTAATCTTGCTAGGGGATTAGCTATTCCGCTGTGTTGCAAACACGGTACGGTTCTCGTCGACTTTCTCAAAACAATCCTCGTTCGGTGGAGTCATTAGCGTGTTTCTGTCGAAGCAAAGCCTTTATCTACACCTCTCGTCTTCAACATTTTCCTCTCAGACTCACTTCCCACTGTCGAAACAATTGAGGCGTATTGCACTCAAAAATGCCAAGTGCTAATCAAAAGTCAGCAGTTTAATATGAATTTACTATGTGCACCATGAACTGAGATGTCTTAGAAAATACTGATACGTTTGTCAACTTCATCCAAAGCTATTTACATTGCATTCAAAGTATCTATTAAATCAGTAACAATACAAAAAAGGTTTAGTTCGTTAGCATTAGTTCAAGGGATAGTCCACCCAAAAATAATACTTCTGTCATTAATTATTCACCATCATGTCGTTTCAAACCCGTAAGACTTCTGTTCATCTTCGGAACATAAATAGACTTCTGTTCATCTTCGGAAAATAAACAAAAAAACCCACTTTTTTTTTGTTTTTTATGAAATCTAAAAGCTTTCTGTCCCTCCATTGACAGCAACGCAACTTTGATGCATCAAAAACTTATAGAGGTCCTTAGTAAAAAAAAAATACCAAAATAATTTTTTTAAAACTGAGTATACTACAAGTCCACAATTCTCTCAGCTGGATTCATTGCTCCTCGAAGTGAAACTAAATCGGCACTTCTGAGGGAAATTTCCCAGGATTATTATTACGATAGTATTATTCCTCACAGTGTAGCAAGACGACATAGAGTACATTAATCTAATTAAATATCTAATATATTGATGTTTTACTGTAGGCGTTCACAGGTTTGAATGGATCGCCTCAGATCATTTGCGTTTGAATAGCGCGCTCTCCGTGGGCGTGTTCACATTGGCAGATAATCAGCTGAAGTGAGAATGACTGACGTCTCTCTCTTTTCGTACAGATTACATAAACATAAAATATTTGTTTTTTATATAAATCACTTAATTTAAAAGAAGACAATTCAAGCTTTATAAAGACATATCACTCATGCCTGCGTGACTGAGTATTTGCTGAGTTACAGTTCATTTTCTGACATGTTTCACAATGGACTTCACTGACAGAGAGAAGGCAGAACTTGCATTATGTTTATTTTTCTTTATTTGGCGAAAAGCACGACACTTTGTTTTAATTGTGAGTATACACAAAAAATAGACACTTAACAGGTTTGAAGGATGTACAACACTTATATGTAAAATCCAAATCAACAGAGTATTTTGAGTCTCTTTTGCACTGATAAGAACAAAAAAACGAGCTTGCATCGCCGGCACGACCGCCGACCCCAGGGTTAACATTCCTGACATATAATACTTGAGGCTTACTGTTATAAATATTATATTTAAACTTTATTGCACAATGCACATTTCTTAATTAGGCATAAAATGTGTTTTAACACTACTATGAGTAAGGATGGTACGATCTCCGTGTAATCAGTGTTTAATTGTTGATTTGTTTGTCCTTTTTATTAGAAACTATTTTTTATTGCATATAGTTCTTCTTATTCACAAACATATGCAATATCGTTTTTTTTTTTTTTTTTTAATTTTCTAAATTTTTCTAAAATTTTCAGTAAAGTCGGACGTATGTCATTTCAGTATAAAGCCCCTTTTGGAAATAATCGTACTGTTTCTCTGAGATCCTTAATCACTTTAGCTTATCTTAAAATAACTTCTTTTTTTTTTTGAGAAATTGAGGATTTTCAGTTATGTCAAGCTGATGTTACTGATGCATAATGTTGAGTTTTGTATTTCAACTGTGGTTGTGTGGGGGATAAATTGAGCATTTATTTTGTTTTGTATCATTGTAGTGTGTGTTTGTTTTGTAAGGTTGCTCTGTTTTGTGTTCTCTTTGGGTTTTTAGGACCCCTTGGAAATGAGATGTCTATCATTTTAATAAATATATATTAAATAGTTCCACTTTAGCACAGTAAAGTATACCTAGTATAGGCCTATCTTTAGTTGTACATAATCACAATTTATAGTAAGGTTGCTCTGTTTTGTGTTCTCTTTGGGATTTTAGGACCCCTTGGAAATGAGATGTCTATCATTTTAATAAATTCATATTAAATAGTTCCACTTTAGCACAGTAAAGTATACCTAGTATAGGCCTATCTTTAGTTGTACATAATGACAATTTATAGGATATTAAAGGAATGGTTCCCTTTTGAATTTTTTTTTCTCGCTCGTTTCGTGTCTTAGGCAATCAATGTGGACTTACATTTACTTTTATATTAAATTATGTTTAATTTGGACTTCTCTGTGCATGCTCTTTCAGGTGGTGACCATAGACCTGCATTATATGACTGACAGACAAGAACGGTTTGACCTAAAAATATCAAAATGGAACCGCGGAAACAAAGACACCTACATCTTGGTGGATGCCCTTGAGGTAAGCTAAAACTTATCAAAAATTCATTTCAAAGTGAGCTATCCCTTTAAGTACACAATTAATTGTTCCAAATTTAGCAGACTGAAAGTATACCAATTTAGTTTAATAAAACTACAATTGTAGGTTATTTATATTTACTTGCATAATATGCAAATGGATTGTAGTACACTTAGTACATTTAATTTCCTATGGATTGTAAAACAAATCCAGATGAATTGAGTGGTTTAGTCCAAATTATCTGAAGAGACACAATTGCTATATGATGAACAGATTGAACTTAGTCTTTGGAAATCAGTTCATGCACTACCTTGAAATCTAAAAATAACATTTGGCATTGCGCCAAGCACTGGTGTTTGAGTTTTTAAACATTGTGGTATCAATGATTTCAGTTATACCTGCTCTTAAACAGTACATAAAAATAAAGTGTGGTTGGTTAGACAACCTTTCCTGTCCAAGTAGGACAATCTGATCAACTGATGACCAACTTGGACCAGTTAAAAACCATGCAACTTTTACCAAAAGCTGGTAATTTAGCTGGATTTTCTTGCGTCTTTCCTTCCTTATCCCCCACAAGGTGACTTTTTACACCAGGAACGTTCATTGTAGTTGATTGTGTGCTTGTTCTTAAGAAATGGGTATCTGTCTGAATGATGAAATGGCTCCCTGTAAGCTTGAATCTTTTTGTTTAAACACGGATTTGTGTCACATTTCCATTCCAACTATACAAATAGAGCTCCAAACAAGCTGTGACTACCACCATGCATTTGTAATGCCGTCTTTCCCTCTCCGGATTGTTTGGATTCATACACGGGGGATGTTTACTTATAGAACAGTTTCAGACATGATAGATGGTCCATGAAAGTGTGATTTTACAAAATCCACACAATTTGCTTGTCTCAAGTTGCATTTCGGAATGTAAACAGGTTCGTTTTCGCTTCGTGAAACGCGATGCGCTGCGATTAACATCCGAATACGCCTTTACTCGAAGCCTCTCGCTCTCTCAAAATATCTCTAGTCCACACTTAAAAGTAGACCAGTGGGGTGTCAGTTATAATATCTAATTAATGAGTTAATTAAAAGACTTCTCTCCTCTTTTCACATGGTGTCAGATAGAGAGAGAGAGAGAGCAGATGTCTATATATATTTAGCTCTAAAGTTCACATCCATTACTCTCCTACTTTGAGTAACTTTTATGACTTTTTTTGCTTTAGGGTCAAGGAACCAGATAGAAATCTAGGTAAAAGCATTGTGTAATAGATGCTATGATTCGACAACGATACAAAGAGGACTTCCAAAGATGTCTTCCATGTCCTCAAGGGATTTTTATTTATTTTTTTGAGAGAGAGAGAAAGCTCAGATGGGGAGATGGGGCTGTAAGTACACATCTTCCAGAAATTCTGCATGTGTAGCTGCTGAGTTCAGGTCAGTCAGATCTGTTTAATGTCAATGATGTTGTCGCCTCTGGATGAATGGTACCCTAGGGGTCCATCAGGAGCAGCTCGACTTCCATTCCAATGACCTTCACTATGATGCATGTCTGCACAGGGAGAAAAAGAGTGATTCGCGTGTGCATCTTTTTACTGCGTGGGTCGGTCCACATGGGTTCTCTCTCGGTTGTAGGGTTCGGCGTATAGTCTGGATGCTATGCTGTCGCAAACATCTCTCTGATGAGACCTCCGCCAGGGCCTGTGTGACAGACCAATAAGAGGCTTATTAGAAATACACGATTAAGTGATTAGTTTTACATCAGCAGAGAGAGAAGTAGTGGTTCTGTGGAAATGAAGCATGTGGTTAAAAAAGGAGTGTCGAAATCGTGTTCTCTCAAGACTTAACTTATTTCACACTGCCAAGATACAGTATTTTGACACACATTCAGCCTAATGTCTGCCTACTTTTATTGCAAAAAATAAAAATAGCTTTTTTGGTATTTTGTCTTGTTTTGTAAAACATCTACAAATCTTTAAAAGACCAAGAAATCTTTACAGAGAATCAATTCGATTTTCTTCTTGGCAAATTGACAACTAAATGGATTAATTCGACAATGTGCATGCATGGATTCAATGCAATGCTTCTGAAATCAACATTGATGCATGTATTTTAGTGTTGGCTTTTGATTTTTTTTTAATATATATATATATATATATAATTGAATCACTTAAAAAATATGAGTATTCTATTGACAATCATTTCATTTGATTTATTTTTATTGCATTTATTGATCAATTTAAATGCATTTTCCAGTGATGTACAGTATATTGACAAACAAAATGGCAATAATATATCTTCAATAATTACACGCACAAAAAAGGTTTAGGATTTACTTTGCAGGTTTTACTTTGACATTTTAGTGAATTTAAAAAAAAAATGAAAAACTTTTTTCAACATTTTTACACACTGTAAAAAATATTTTCAAGATTTATCACAACATATTTTCTTTTGTCAAATCAACTTTATAATAATTTATTTAGTTGAGAACTTATTATTTTGAGTTTCTGATGATTAAATGAATCTCCTTCTTTGTATTAACTCGCTTTTTCCAGTTCAATCAACTTAAAATTTTAAGGCAACCCAGTTTACTTACTTTTTTAAGTTAAACCAACAATATTTTTTTTTTACAGTGTAGTAATCACATTTTTTTTCTTTTGTCAAATCAACTTAAATAATTTATTTATTTCAGATAACATATAATTTTGAGTTTCTGATGATTAAATCATTCTCCTTCATTGTATTAACTCACTTTTTCCAGTTCAATGAACTTAAAATTTTAAGGCAACCAGGTTACTTACTTTTTTAAGTTAAACCATCAATATTTTTTTTTAAAGTGCAAAAATGTCAGTGCACACAATTTCCATTCAACGAAAGTGTGCTACACATATATTAAAAAAAATATATGTGTGTGTTTTAAAAAAAAAGTGCACACGAGCTTTTTATCTTTTTAAATACGTTATTTCAATCTGTTTTAAAGTCAGTTCAAGATCTATTAATCAAAACAATGAGTAAATCACTTCTGAAATGAACTACATTGATAACCTGCTCATCATGATTCACACAAAGTCACGTAATGTGAGCCTGATCCCAAATTAAGAGCAAAACTGCGCTTAGATGATTGTCAGATAACCAGTTTTGGAACCACATACACGAATCGGATGCCAAAAAAAATCTGATTTCAGAATTGCTTTTGGTATTTACACAGATCAAACAACACATCTACTGTGCTACAGTAGATGTGTGAAACAGTCAGAAGTGGTTGATAGTGCGAAACCCGAGTAACAGAATATTAAAAGATGTGAAATTTGGAGAATGCCTCATGAGAGACGAATGTGCTGCCCATCTAATTATGAAAATTAATCTTAAAGTGACCAGTGTAAACATGTTTATTGACCCAGTGCCCCACTCTTGTGTGTCTTTACGTGGTGTAATTGCGGTCCAGCATCGAATGGAGACCGATTCTTCCGGAGGATACATCCATTTGTCTTAATCTGCCGTGACCTACATCCCAGACATCTTCTCCTCCAAAGCCGAATCTCGCACTGGATTGCAGGAGCACTCTTCTTAGTCGTGCATAAGTGTAATTGATGACTTTGACCTTCTAATGGTCCAGCATATTCAGTCACTCACAGATACAGCGTCCCGTGTCTCTTAAGGGCGCAAGTGCACAAATAAATGACCTGACGAGGAGAGCGCTTTCACCAAATGGAATGGAATAAAATACGTGGGAGATGTCCTCACCCTTCTTCTTATACGAAAAGGTTAATCCTCAATCTTGGATTCGTTTGAGTGTAAGCCTGAAAATAACATGCGAGACATGTATGTTTTCCTAAACTCTCTCTCTCTCTCTTTCTTTCTTCTGCTTTCTGAATTGGTAAGAGGGGTCTTAGACGCCCGCTGCTGTCTTAAACTCAAATGCAGCTGAAGTGGATTGGATCTCACCAGGAAACAACACTCTGGCTAATCTAACACAGTCAATGTTCATCAACAAAAATGTGTCATCCACTGACAAGGACAAATCGTTACTCTCAAATGGTTTGGCAAGGGAACTCAGCGTGATGTGTTTGCTTTGTTCTTTCCGAGACTTTGCAGACATGTTCGCATGTTAGAGCCTTCCATTCGCCAATCTATCTGTCATTAGCTATGTTACGTTATTCTGTTGCAATTAATCAAAATGCCGTCAATTTCCTCAAGAACTCATTCAGCCACGTCTGTCTATCCCTTTTTGTGATATTATATGTGTGTGCATTTGGCAGATGTTTATATTTTTCCAAAGTGGTTTAAATTTCATTTGACGCACACATTTGGTCAGTTCATGCTTTCTCTGAGAAGTGAACCCATGACCTTTGACATAGCTAGTGCCGAGTTAGCAAGTTTGAGTGAAAAACAGGACACTCCTTGTGAAAAAGAATTGTAGTGTGCAAATTGTGAAAGTAGTTTGAGTGACACTTCATTTTACAGCGTCCCTGTTGCATATCTTACATGTGCGGACTAGTAATAAAAGTAAATTATGCATAATTGCAATCAATACCCTAAACCTAACCCTAATTTTAAAGTAATTACACTGTAACAAGGAAACCTTTGACTAAAGTTTAACCATGTATTTAAAAAGAAAATCTGCACTTACAGGTATATTAATGAGAAATTAAAGAGATTACACTTCCATGTTTTAACCCAATTAAGTAAACTTTTAAAAAGTGTCCTTTACAATAATATAACATTTTTAATTATTGTTTTTAAAAAAATAAACCCATTTTAATGTGTTGTCTAACATACTAAATCACATACAAATATTCATGATGTACAATTTTACAAATTGCATTAAAGCATGTTTTAGCTTGCCATAAATGTTTGTTGCTACGTTCAACTTTAGATTCACTTTAACCAAATTTTAAAGACAATAGAATTATGCAATTTCATATAAAGATGTGCAACTAATTACA